GGATACAAGCATACAAGCTGAAAGGTAGAGATTTATGGGTTGTGAATGTTAGTGGCTCATGGAACTGGGGGAAGTTGCTGAAAATCAGAACTAAGATCCCTAATCTATTTTGCTTGAGAGATGGACTGCTTTACTGGAATGATAAACCAATGAGAGATATTCTATTAAGTTGATCTAGGAACACTACAAGAAAATCCATCTTTAATAACGGGAACATTTGTCATGGGTAGATTCCCGTGACCGATAATGACCTATTTATTAAAGGAGATATTCCCGTGACTTGTTGGTAGTTAAACAACAATCAAAATAGTTTCTCGTGACTGTTGGTGGGCGGAAACAAAAATATGATAGGCGGGAATAATTGCCGCCTCCGTTTTTATCTCCCGAAAATTTTGGCTCCGAAAATTTTCAAGTGCCCCGCCCTCTCCAATTATTTCGCTTATTTTCAATTCTTTCCCTTTATCTTTACCCGAATTTACCTTCTTCATTCATTCTTTCATTCCTTTCCTTTCTCTCTCTGAACCAAGCAAGCAAAGAAGAAACGCCATTCCTCTGCTAAAACATGGCAAAGATGCATGAGTGAGAATCGGATGGATATAGATGGGATTTTACGCAAGGGAAAGAATATCCCCACCCCAGCTCCTCCACCACCAACCACAGCTGTGGCCTGCAAATCCACATCCTCCGCCTCCAAATACCTCTTCAGGTTACTACGTACAGAGAGCAAAGAAGCACAAATGGAAAAACAGTTATGTGCTTTAGAATTTGAAGAAAGTGTTGAAGGACCGCATATAACTTCTTTCATTGCTTTCTCCAATCCCAATTTTATTTAGCCCCCCACTTCTGTAAAACCCTAATTCGTTCTCTTCTATCATGGTGTTGGTAACAACTAGACCATAGATCACTACACTGAGGGCACTGATCTCATTGATTCAATTCTCTATGTTGTTATAAAGAATGTTGAAATATGTGCTTGCCTTCAATGTAATTGCATTCAATCTCTGCGCATGAACGAGTTCATGCTGCTTTACAATCAAATTTAACTAATTGGAGTTTGCTTGATCTATTGCATGTATAAGGAGTACAAGATGATTCAAGGCAGGTGTGCAATGATTGGAGCCATTGGGTTCATCATCCCTGAAGCTTTCAATAAGTTTGTTGCTAACTTCGGGCCTGAGGCTCTAGTTCAAGGTACATCTATCTAGCTACCTATATGTAGCAGAGTTAATGATTTGGATGCATTGATGCAGTTTATGATATGCTGGTTACATATTGTTCGAATTCATGTCTGAATTGTGGGTTGAAATACAAGATCAAGGGGACCACAATGTTAAATTTCTATAATTGGAATCGATATCATGAAAATTGACCATGGATGAGATGTGATTGAAAGCTAATAAATTTGTGCAATGGTGTTGATGATACTGTTCAGGTGGTTATGGAGTGGCGACAAGAAAGCCTTTAGCAGTTATACTGTGATGATTACTTCAAGTGCAGCTACCGTTGTACCTCTTGAGCTTATTACTATGGTCGTGGCACCATTCCTATCTACTGGTAGATACCAATGCTTCCTTCTCTATTTTGGTTATTACTGGTGTCCTGTTTTCTTTGAATTAAGCAAGCTAGCAGAGATGTAGTGCAGTCAAATGGGGTTGAGATAACTAATTTTAACTATACTTCAGTTGGCTACACTGCGAATGATAAAAAAAAAGAGACATAGCTTGATGCGAAGTTCATGATTATCTAGTGTTGTATGCGTGTGTGTAAATGAATCATTTGGATTCCTCTTTTTCCTTTCTCCCTTCCTTCACCAAAGTGAGAGTATAGGAATTGTAGAATGTTTAAATAAAAACATTAGTAACTGTTATTGATGTTCACACTGATTTATATCCACAGGAACTATAACTATGGTAAAGTTGGACAAAGTGTCAAGGCGGATTTGTTGTCACCCTAAGTACATAGAGCAAAATGCTACCTCGGTTTTCCATACTGCCATTTGGATGTGGATGACCCTGAAGAAGAAGTTACATCCTTCAGCCCACAATGTCTCTTTTGGCAACTGGCAGCCCACGAAGAATGAAACCCTGTCCAAACGCATTCCTGGGTTCGGTACAACAATGAACATTCTCTATGCTTTACTTGAAGTGTTTGGTGTGTCCTGAATTTGCAGCAGATCTTGCAGCAAACCCTGCCCAGTCTAGAGTCACTTGTAACTACGGACTTGTGTACAAAAAGAATGCAAATGTTGTATGTAATGCAGTTAGTAGCCGCTGACAGTTTGTATAAAGAATTTTTTTGATCATGTTTATGAAATAGAACCTCTCTTATTCATAAAATAATGTATGTACCACATCACAGGTTTCTCTAGCGAATATTGATTAGTATCCATCACTTGATTTCCATGTGATTAGTAAGGATCAACGATCACGGGGTTCCTGTGACGATTGAGACAAAAACCCTTGCTTTAAATTGGTCACAATCATTACAATTTCGTGACTATTGGACAGAACCCCGTGACGAATAATGCAAGAAGTCACGTGAAATCCGTGACTATTTTGTAACTTAATCACGGGAATTACCGTGACAAAATAAAGCTTCTGTCATGGGATTTTTCCCGTTATTGTATCTTTTCTCTCACGGGATTGCCCTTAACATTTTACCTTTGATGACGGGCATGCTTGACACGGGAAAATATCGTGACAAATGCTTTCCGTCACGGGAATTGACTATTCAATCACGGGAAATCCCGTGATCGAAGTTGAATTTTCCTGTAGTGGAATCTGTTAGGCTAAAGCACAATGTAGTCAGTTGGTACAAGCTTTTATGGAAAGGGCCTTCTATTCCTAGGAACAGGTTTCTTGTTTGGCTCATTATATGCAACAAAATTCAAACCAAAGACAAGATGCAGAAGTGGGGTTTTGCTGGCTCTGATCATTGCTCCCTCTGTGATCAGACAGGTGAGACAAGGGACCACTTGTTCTCTGCCTGTCCCTACTATTCTACTGTTCATCAGCTGCTGTTGGGAAGTTTAGCTCTTTCTCTCCACATAATTGGGAGGAAAATCTTGACTTGGCTATAAGGAAGTTTGGAGTTAAGTCTGTGTGTGCAATGACAGGTCGACTGATATGACAGTCTATGGTGAGTCATGTTTGGAGAGAGCGTTGTAGGAGGGCTTTTGGTGGCAGCAGGAGGTCTCCTGGGGCTCTGGCTTTAATGATCAAGAGTGAAGTTTGTGTTCTGGTGCAGGAATTGAAAGACTTGGACAGGTTCTGGGTTTCTGGTTCTTAGCTTCATTAAATCTCTTACCCGAGATTGTTGTTTCCTGTTTTGGTACAGTTGGCTGCTCTGTTTTGTTTCCAATTTTGGGCTTCTGTTTCTGGTTCCACTAATAGTTTTGATCCCATTCCCCTAGCTTGCAAGGGTGTTGCCAGCACCACTTTTTTGATGGAATGAAAGTATACCGATTCATAAAAAAAATGAGAAATTCAAATAGATAATTGAAAAAAAGCGAGATAAGACAGTCAAGAATGCGCGCGAGACGGGGCAAGGTCGAAAGTAGTAACCCATGTACCGCTCTAGTGTGAGCCAGGTCCGAAATTACCAAACGGGCAGAGTTGAAATTCTCATTGAAACATTTGAACTCCATACCAAAGGCCTAATAAAGATGGTTGGTGGAATTGTGGGACCGATTAATTGGATTGATAAGATCTCGTGAAAATATTGGTCAGTGGTTAGTGAATTTACGTAAAAAAAGATATACTTGCAAATATTTATTGATATGATAAAAAATAACTTTCGCGCGTAAATATTATGTCAATATTATTTGTCACAATTTGTACCAAAAAACATTCCACGATTAAGACTTTATATAAATAAATGCTATTTAAAAATCTAATAAATATTTCTCTTTTATCTAAATGGAAATGGGTAGTAAATATTTTGTCCCTTAATATCTCAACCTAGTTATTTCTCAAATATTTTGCCTAGCTCTAAATTTATATTATTATACTGATGTAAAAGTGTTAAATAAATTACAACTAAGACTTAAATCTATGCTAAAATTAGTGTCATGATTCTTCATTTAATGTTGGGCTCAAATGTAAGCTGGACTTGTTTTTCTGAGCTGGACATCTGCAAATCTCCACCTACAATATATTTCCAATCCAGCTACAAAGGTAAAAAAAATAATAATAATAACAAAGGTAAAAAACCAACACGTAATAATGAGTACCAACGACGTATGATAAGTTGGTAACGTGCTTAATGAAACACTTAATTGTCAAATTCTTTACCCGGGCTTAGGCAACAGTAAATTGTTTTTAAATTTGTCCTATGGTTTGGGTGTATTATCGAAGGCAAAAAAGAAGAAAGGATGATGGATGTGGAGATAATAGCTAGAGATCCACTCATTAATCATGATTCTCAAATTAAGAACTTGTATAACAACGTTTGAAAAAATGCAGTGCTAGAACACAAAAGTAAGGAACTGAAAAACGAGGCCGAATGGAAATGGCTAGTGTAGGCCACGCGCTTCCATAGAAACATAATTGTTTTAGGCAACAGTAAATGGTATTTAGCTTTATATATATTAATTAATCTAAGCGCTAACTTAAACAAATTTATTTGGATTTTGGTGGTGAAGGAGAAATAAGAAATGAAAGAGCATGCATCCTAACTCGTTTCATTTTGAAACATCAATAATTTTTGTATATTCGTAAAACATGAACAAGTGGAAGAAAAAGACAACATAATTTAATTTAACAAGTATTGCAAGTTTGCCTTGTTTCTAACAGTTGAGCAGACAAGAATTAACACAAACAACAAAGAAAAAACCCCACTCTAGAAGAAGAAAACCAGAAGATAGCACGTATGGTATACCAATACTTTGATTATGTCGACCCATGATCCCGATGTATCAAAAGTACTTATGGCGCATGTGTAAATTAAAAAAAGTTCCTTCACAACAAGTGAAGAACAAACAAACAAGGAGAAAGAGTAGGCTAGTTTTGTTTGGGGCAGTTGAAGTCTAACTGATGAGGTATGAACTCGAACTGGTTACTAGTAGTAGTTTGTGGATGTTGGTGATGACAAGTTTTGTGCAGTACTAGTGTTGCATCCCTTTCGGCATCCCTTTCTCCCGTGACCTACAATAATGAGATAAAAAGAGATGGAAATTTCACCACCAAGATAAATTATATCTTCTTTTTTATTCATTTAGTGAGAACATGTTCATCATATCACATATAACTCTCAGATGTGTAGAAAATATCAACAATACATTTAAAACGCTCTCTACTTCAGTTATTAGTAGTTAAGAAAAAATTGAGCAATATTATTGCGCACATTTTATTTGTAAAAAAATATGGTACATACAAGAGAAATGATCCTTATATACATGCATGCAAGTATTTATCAATTTTCACTAGTCGTAAATGATTGTATATTTTCGCTAAAGTGAACAGTATCGTATTAATAGAGAACCCCATCCAAGTCCCAACAACATGCTCAGTCTAACTATAAATGGAGGTATTTGCGATTGTTCCCAACAAAGAAAGGGGTCAATGCTCGTCTTTCTTGCTCGCAATTTTTGTGGAAGTAATATCATATTAATAGTGTCTGCATATTACTCAGCCATGATGCAACATATATAGACGATACACACTAGACAGCTCGTCATGACCATTTCTTTATGGGATGAAAACTTTAAGGGTGCATCTAAAATGACATGCATGTTACCGTAGCTGGCACTTTTCAATCGAACTCAATTAGTATTAGGTCGACCGAATATATTGTTTCAGTGTAAAAACAGTTAATACGACTGTTGGAATGGAACGTATGGATTTTGACATACCTGGTCTCGCAATTCTGAATTTTCCTTCCTCAGAAGGTCCAACTGTCGGTGCAGTTCTATATTCTCTTGATAGAATAGATTTCCCTGCAACATTCAATTTAACATCCAAACTCATAATTAAGTTTTTCATATAGCGTATTAGGGCAATAATCATAATGAAAAACAACAACAATTACGTGTCTGTATACACAAAATTATAGATCACCAATTAATCAAAATAAAATACATTTGAGGATGACCTTTTCCCATGTGTCGTACATGTAGAGGGTCTAAGTTCACGGAATATTTATTTTATAATGAATTTGATGAAATATTTAACGACCTAGGAGATATTAGTTTTTGATATATGGGAAAAAAGTCATTATTATTCATGCATTTTGACATTTGCACCCATATAATTTCTTTTAACTCAAAGGGTAAACATGACATATAGATAGCAATCTAGGTTGTAGCATGAGATATACATAGATGCAGAAGGATAGGCATATTGATCTAATGTACGTAAATTGGGGCGTTACCTTTTTTGTCAAGTCTGTTATTTGCCCAATTAAAACCTGGTTCTGCAAGGGAGGAATTATATAGAAGGCGGGAAGAGAAATTAGAGAAGAGACAAGCAGTGGGAGTGTACAAATAATGAATTGAAGGACAAATTATAATAATTAAGTTGATCAATATTTGATTTGTAAGTTGTACCTTCTTCGTGCGAATTCCCTTGAGGCTCATCTCTAGCTGGTTTTCCAAGTTTTGCAGATCATTGGCACTCAACCCTGACAGCTCTTCTCCCATTAGTTTCCTGAACATGCATGCATGCATTCGGATCATATATAACTTTAAAGTATCGTAAATCTGCAATAAATTATTTTAGGTATAATCATAGAATAAATACGTAACAAATGACAGTTCAAAATGCTCAGCTAAAGCGTACGTTAAATTTTTTTATAAACAAATTCAGTAAAAATAAAAGGGTAAGTTTTGAGTTTCCAGACTCCATCCATTAGGATGTTAATTACCTGTGATACTCTTGTAAGGACTGCAGTTCCCTCCTGAGCTTTGCTGCTTCCCTTTGCCAAAACTGTATATGATTGAGCCCAGAAACAAATATTTATACAAAAATTATTCACTTAATTGTAATGCATGGGAAGTACATTAAAATTCTTACAAAAAATAAAGTTCATTGCTCATCATTTTATGGAAAAGAATAGGGTACAAACCATTTTCTACAAAATTTTACAGAACTCTTAAACCCAGTCCATTAAATAATATGCCCAAACTCATGGCCTGATTCAATCTCTTTTGTCTAAACTTAAAACTTAAAAAAAATTCCATAGAATGAATGTATCAAATAAGATGTACACAATGAAATCCATTATGCTATGAGGAATTTTACAATGCTATATAGTATTGGTGCTATAGGTTTTTACCTTTATGGTACAACTTGAAATTGTACATTTAACGTTATGGTACAACTTTAGATTATACCTATACTGTTTGTACAAATTCTTTTATGGTACAACTTGAACTTGTACTTTTATGTGATGGTACAACTTCAAGTTGTAAAGTTGTACCATAACATAATGGTACAAATTCTTTTATGGTACAATCTAAACTTATACATTTCATGTTATGGTACAACTTTAAGCTGTACATTAAAGCACCAATACTATATCTATATAATAGAAATTCACTTCTGCTATATCTTAACGACATAAAATTTGTGTTATCACATCACAATTATATAATGATTATACAACTATGGTAAAGCTACACAACGCCATTTTAATACAATTATACAATTATATTACAGTGGTAACCGGTAAGGATGACACAAAAATATTTCGCTTAAAAATATTGAACTAAATGTCATCTTGTAGTTTTACACTAATAAGACACACATAATACTAATACGATAAGACTCCATAATACCATCTTACCGCTATGGTATAACAAAAAAGCAACATTATACCACTGTCATATCATGATATTATTATTACGGTAATATCATGATATGATTATGGTAAGATTCCACAAAAAAAAATCAAACTGAATGTAATTTTATGAAATATAAAAATAAAAATCTTCTATGCAAAATTTGTTGCAATTCCGGTTAACATGAGTGAAATTGTTCAAAATTTGAGAGAGATTGAAAACGTCTATTGCCTATGTTTGGCCCGGCTTTTTAAGTGCTTTTCGGCTTCAATAGCTAAAGCAGAGCCAAACACTTCTAAAAGTTTGGCTTTTGAAAAGCCGAAAAACGCTTTTGTATAACATAAAAGCAGAAGCTCTGATTTGGAGTTTCTGCGAAAAGCTGTTTTGAAAATATAAGATCATCCTTGCCATATTTTAATTTTATTTCACAAAATATAATTTTGTTTCATTTATATCTTTTAAAAATAAAATAAAGTATAAAATCATATTATTTAATATAAAAAGAAGTCTAACAAGATCAATTTTGACTACATTTTATTATTTAGAATCATTATTCATAGTTTATATTATGAGTCCTTTATAGTCATTTTATACAACCTCTCATATTGAAAAACACTTTTAATAAATTTTCAACCAAACACTCAACTGTTTTTTTTTTGAAAGTACTTCTATAAAAGCTCAATCCAGAAATTGCTTCTGCAAAAGCTACGGTAGGGCCAAATTGAGTCATTAATTATGTGCCCGAAAATTCAAGTGAGCAGTAAAAAATGAGGTTTTGTAACTCTGTGTAAAAAAGAAACAATAATGGTTTTGGTTGATGATTGTACATGCATGTATGTGTCTCTTGTCTTTGTTCCAACTAAACCAACATGTTATGTTTAAACCAGGAGTGTCTGGGTGTAATTTAGAACGAGTAACACAAACGAAAAAATGAAAGAAAAAAAAAACTCAATTTGAAGAATTGGTTTTTTTCTGTATATACCTTGGCTTCTGAAGCAGGATTCAACGGTTGACTTTGACCTTCTTTCTGCTTGTTGTATCGATCAATAACAGACTTCATACTGCATACCATGTAGAAAGCTGACGGTTATAACAAATGGGAGAGTGGTTAATTATGTAGTGAAGTTTATTTACATTCCAGTCTATAAATAGTACATGATGATGGTGGCAAAGAAAGCATAACCAATCCTCATGGCACCCAACTGAACTTAAACTGACTTCCAGCAAATTTTTTTGTTGTTGATGTTTTTATAACCTGATGATAAATAAATAAATGGTTCTTTGTTTTAACTATCCTTCGATATATGGTTGGTCTCATGATTTGCAATTAACTTGTGGTGGATGTTATCAATCAGAAAGGTAGTCAGTATTCCCTTTCAAACCTCTAAATTAAACTATGTTTAATAACAATGTGTAATACTGCATTAACCTTATCATATACCTATTCATACAAATTTGTTTATGATACATATTGAACTTGTATATTCAACGTTGTAGTTCAAACACAATTTGTACATGAAAGTATCGATGCTTATGAACATTGTTCTGTTGATTCGATGTTTGAAAATAAAAAACTAAAACATACCTGTAACTAGCTAACCTGAAACTACTATTGATCAGCCTTGTTATTGAGCGAGTGGAAACAAAATCTTTTATTTTTGTTCCAGAAAACCATTTAGATCTTCTCTTGTCTGTAAGAGATTTCAAAGTCATTGTATGAATCGTTAAATATTTGTAGGGCAGCGTTGACTTGTGTAGTTTCATATTTCATGATAAAAAAGCATTGACTTCACTTAAGTTGACTTCAACTAATATAGACGAATCTTGTTGAAAAATAGTTGTAGGCTAGTGTTGTATTATCTGGTGTCCTGTTTCTCTTGTAGCGAACGATTGTGGCGTTCCCTACATTGCATGTCAAAAGTCAAAAGATCTATACATTGGTTTTTGGTTCCATTGTGCATGGGACCATGATTGTCGTATCATATGTCGGCTCTCGTGCATCATGCATGCACGTGTACGTTGTTCTAGCAAGGCTTCGAGGTTGTCAAGTCATGCGCCTTCTAATAATCTTGGCTCCAATTGAAGTAATGACGCGAAAGGGAGAAGAAACCCTAATGGAAGATAATTACTAATTACCATGAAGGTGTGACAATGGTAGATTGTGATCAACGTACGTAACTAAAAAACAATTCTCGAAATATATACTGATCAATACTGAAAATCATTCTATAGACCTATAAGGAATCCAATGTTCTATCTCAAAATTTTCAAAATAATTAAAAAATAGATAAAAAAATTACAATAGTAGTTGGGAAATTCAAAAGTAACATCTAATTTCAAATAGGGAAATTAAAAATTATTTTCTCCTTTATCACCCATTTTTGTGTACTCCCTCCTCGCCCCTCGGAATTGTTCGTTGTAAAATTTATGGGAGGATCTTGGATGATTTAGATCTTAGGCACGATTTCGAAAGAAATTAATGGAAGAAATTTTTGTGCTTCTTGAGTATTAACCAGTTGAGTTATTAAAAACCATTGGATCAGTATATTAGTAAGATTCATTTCTGAAGTCTCTTTTAGCTTGTTCAGTTGCGAATCCCGACTAGACTTTCAAATTTCAAAATAATATGTTCTCTCATAAGATTTTTTTCCCCCTAATGATTTGTAACATTCTCAACCGATTTCCGACCAAAATATTTTCCATTTCGAGTTCAGACCCACACAAATTTTCACTTGATGTGAATATCAAGGCTACTTATCAAGAAGTCATTCATCTTTACATTATTTTACAAAGGGCACATTTAGTTTTAGGGTATTTATAAGAATTCTTCTATTTCACTCGGAAATACGTTTTATCAGTTAATGTCGCGGTTTATTATTTATAAACCATGAATCTCACTCGTATTTTTAAACATTTAAAATTTGTCTAAGGTGATACCGATTTTTAGAAGAAGAAAAAAAATGAAAAGAGGGAATATTTGTATAATGACCACTTGTTTCAGCTTTTTGTTCCTTGTGTAGTATGGAAAAGGATGAGACGTAAGATAGCAGTGACGTGTCTATTGTTTCTGTGTTGATTGTGACGTGTGTGTTGTTTTGATGCTTTCTAGGTTATATTATAATAATGTTATACACATCTCGTGTTGAACGCCTTAGCTAGCTTACTATACCTAGTAAGTACTCTTCCATGTTCCATTCACTCTTTTCTTTCTTTCTTTCTTTCTTATAGATCTAGGTATAGCTAGGGTTAACATTCGAACCATTTCCTGCCTGAAAGGATTCAAAGCCGCAGTGAGTGATCCAACTGCGGTTAGATGAAACCCCTTTTGTTATAACTTCATACAATTACGCGCCTAGTTAAGGTTGGAGGTGCACGAGAGTAATAATTAACCTACAATAAACATAGAATGAAGATCGTTTTCATCTAATCCCAGCAGCTGGGATTCTGAAAATCGTATTTATTACTTGGTATAACCCTACAATAATCATATTATTATAGGATTACCACAGAGTAGATCCCTACTTAACTACGTCCAATATTAAAAACCATTCTCGGTCGGTCAACATCAAAAGAACAACAGGACAGCAGAAGAGATGAAGAGTGGACTTATGTATATTATAAGAAATTTATAACAAATTTGTGACCTGGTGCTGGCAAAGTCGTAGAGCTTGTTGGTGCAGGAGAAAACGAGGAGACCAACTTCAGCGTCGCAGAGGATGGAGAGCTCCCTGGCTTTCTTAATCAAACCATTCCTTCTTTTGGAGAAGGTCACTTGCCTGCTTGTGGAGTCGTCGATCCGCCTTATCACGATCTTCCCTCTCCCCATGATGATAACACGCCGCGATCCGATCGCCTTGATTCCCAATATATCTTTAAAACTTCCCTAGCTCCTCCTGCACCCTGGAAATCACAAAATAAACAGACCAAATCAATGGATCCAGCTGATTCAAACTCTCATGAAACAGTTTGACAGTTAGACCGAATAACGAAGAAAGGACATGGGGAAATATATCATAACAAAGACAGGCAGGTGCTACTTTGAAAAGCAATGCTTCGTGACCCTAAGAGGAAAGCTAGCTAAAGAAAGAAAGGCATGAATCGATGGAGATGGAGCTTACTGGTTTGCGCTGAAAGAGAAAAGAAAAGAGAGAGGGGCATGGGAAACCAGTCCCTAAATGGCTGGCATTATATACACGGTAATCCTACTAGTGGGTTTCTTTGCTAACTCAGACATTTCCTCTTGCCTCTTTCTGATGCTTTTATTTCCCATTTATTCAACCAAGTACAAATCACTCCATTATGATTCCTCTCATTGTTATAATATATATATAATGTTTCAGTCTTTTAAGTGTTGTACTCGAAATCGCGTTTTTAATTTTAAAATTTTACGCTTTTATATTTATAGGTTTAAAACACTTATATGTAGAATCGCACATTTCCTTTATAAGTGTAGTCAAAATCTACGGTTTAAAGGTTAAAAATATTAATTTTTTTACGCTTCTACGAGCAAATCGCAATTGTGACTACTTTAAAGTACAAACAATTAAGTATATTGTGACTTATGATTATACACAATCGACTAGAATACTCAATATGTTTGAGAGTAACTTTTTCGCCACAATTTGTTCTCGAAAAAAGAAAACTCTATTTTATGACTAATACACTTATCCTATTTTTATGCAAATTGATCCATAGTAATTATAAATGCACACATTTTTTTTTTCTATGGAAACACACACACAATTTATTTACGGTTTCAAGCAAATCAATCTTGATATTTAAGCACATAACTATTTTTCAATAATTAACCATTTCCATTTATCTCTACTGATCGGAAGATTAAAAAAAAATGAGAGGAGCTCTCTCCTCTCTCTTCGAATGGCTGTACAGGCTTGGCGACTGGCTATGGCGAATCCTTTCTTCTGTTCTTCTGATCAGCTTGCAAAACCAGTGAAGTGCTGGATTTAGAGCTGCTGGGGATACTCTGGTCGATGTGAGCGATCAGGGAAGATGGGATAACGATGATCGGCGAGCGATGAGGAGTAGAAACTCCGCGGCTGTTCGACACCTCCGCCAAAGGGGGTCCTGCCCTAGTTGGGTGCCTTGTAAGCAGAAACGCGCGTTGGTACGAGAGGATGTCAATCCCTCGGCTAAAAACCATTTATCAAACCCTAAACCAGCCAAAAAATGCAAAGCTGGTAGAATGAAAGAATGGAGATTCTGGCTCCCTTCGTCATCAGATATGGTAGGCGATGAATCGCTGTTATCCAAGTCCGATGGGTCTGTGGCTGATGCTGATGTCAATCCCTCGGCTAAAAACCATTTATCAAACCCTAAACCTGCCAAAAATCGCAGAGCTGATCGAATGAAAGAATGGAGATTCTGGCTCCCTTCGTCATCGGAGATGGTAGGCGATGAATCGCTGTTATCCAAGTCCGATGGGTCTATGGTTGATGCTAGTAATCCAATGTGGGGGGGATGGTTGTCAGATCAGTCAGGATGACCGTGATTTTGTGACGGAAGCGGCGGAAGTCCGCTCGCTGGTGATTAACTGGCCAAAGAGTGTTCCTCTGGTAGGTGATGCCGGCGGCGCGACTGATGAGCCCCCATGCCTGAGCACGTGGACAGTATCCCCCCAATCCCGTGATCTGTGGACCTTCGGTTTCGTGATTGGTGGAGTTGGTTCCTCCCCTCCCGCTTTTTCGGGATTGGTTGGTGGTTACTGGAATATCAAAACCCAACCGGAAAAATCTGTTCGGGATCCCAACCCGCGTGGGATTCCTACTCCTACTTACTCTCAAACTCTGGGAATGAACGCGTCCATGAGATTAGGCTGCTACCGAGGCGCAGGGCCTCTATATTTATCCCCCCTACCTGGGCTAATTAGATTACCTGATCAAAAGCTTCGGCGCCCTGGAGAAACTTCTGCTATCGGAGCTCTTTCCATTGTGAGTTCGTCCTGGTGTTGCCCAGGTAATTTGGGATTTTTAATCACTCGTTCACCTCCTCCGCCTATTTTCACTAAGTCTTATAATCAACCATCTGTTATGCATCCTCGTCACGGCCCTTCTTTGAAGGATACACCCTCGATGGAAGAGGTGCTAGGGTGTAATATCCCTAATTTTAATATAAGCTCTCCACCTATTTGCCAAGTGTTGAGTACGATGGCTCGTATTACAGAAGACCAAGTGATCCAATTCTCTTTGGAGGAGGTGCAGTTGACCAAGCTCCGAGCCTCGCGATCCCTCCTTGGTCGTGTGTTTACTAATGATCCAATCACACCTATGGGGCTGCGAGAAGGATTGCTGGACGCCTGGAAGATCCGAGGGCAGCTCAGAGTCTTGAAAGCGAAACATGGGCTGTTCGAGATCATCCTCCCTAATGAGGAAGCTAAAAAATGGGCCCTATCTCGCAACCATGGATTGTTAATGATCGGCGGATCATTCTTCGGCCTTGATCTCCTGTTATGTCCCAAGGAACCTTCGATGAAATGTCCAAGGCCCCATTTCGGATTCAGTTATGGGGAGTGAAAGAGGATTGCTGTACCAGAATTTTTGGGCAGAAATTTGTCGCTGCAGCGATTGGAAAGGTTCTGGAATCGGGAGTCTTTGCTTGCAAAGAGACTGGAGTGCATTTTATAAAAGTTAATACTGTTGTTGACTTCTCCCAACCCCTCCGATCGCAATTATTGGCGGTTAGTGATGATGTTGATAGCTTCTGGGTTAGCTTGAAATACGAGTTCCCGCCGAGCTTCTGTTTTCATTGCGGCTGAGTTGGTCATGCGCGTCGTGACGGTGCTTTTGATCCACCACATGGCAAAGAGCGATTCGGACCGCACATGTCGACTAAAAAGTTGGGTCGAAAGATATATGAGGAAGATGATGATGGGCTCTCTTTTGGGGAGTCCAGGAGATCAGTTTGGTTCAATCGCCAAAATCGACCCCCTACAGCGACCGGAAGAGGAGAAGTGGGGATGGGTTCCCGAAATCAACCCATGGCCCCGGGTAGGAGGGATCAACCAATTTCCTCGCAAACTTATAATGGGTCGATGACTCGTGCAAAGCCGGCTGTACCGCAAAAGCCTTGCCCTCCTTCCAAAGGACGGGTTAGCCAAGTGGTTGCAGCGTTTGAGGCGGGCTTGAATATTACTGATACGATGGCAATACCGTCAAATGCCGGAGGCATCGGCGGGTTAGCTGATGCTGGGAATGCCAGCCTGGAGGGGATGAATGCTGGAATACTTGATGAGTACGGGTCCAATATGTCTAACTGATAACGATGTAATTGCACATATTTGCGGCCCTAGTTCTTATCCGTTTGAAGGGCATAGTCGTGTGTTTTGGCCTATTTAACGCCGGGTTGTGCTATTTTGTCATGTTTCAGGTCCCAAGTGTCAAAGGGAAGGCTAACCACGAGTTTCGGGTCATTCGGAGGTCATTTCGTCAAGCTGGAGCCAAAACACGGGCACACCTAAGGCATTACACGGCCGTGTTCCTGTGGCCGTGCTTTTTATGCCGAGAGCTGAGCTGATTACACGGGCAAGGCCGAGACAAAGCACGGCTGTGTCCAACGCGAAGCACGGCCGTGTTTCTTCCCAACTGCTGGCCGTGTAATTAAGCCTGGCCGAGACACGGGCGGACTCAGGCAAAGCACGGCCGTGTCCTCGACCGTGCTTTGGCCACTGATGCTTTTAAGCAGATTTTCAGCCACAATTCAAGGGGATTCGAGTTTTTGAGAGATAGAACGATTCATAGTGAGAGAAAGTGACGAGCAAGAGTTCCCAAGTGCCCTAGATTGATCTTCAACACCATTGGAGGCCAGTTTGAGCTTGGAGAAGTGCCGATCAACGTCCAGGAGCAGGAATCCATCCTTCACAGTATGAATTCCGCATCTGATTCTGCTTTTGCCTCTTTCTTTATGGAGTAGTTCTCCCATTCATCTGGGTATGGAGAACCCTAGATTTGTATGTTAGGCTTTGATTGTATGAACCCAAGTACTCATTCTATGATTGTTTATATTCGATTGAGGTTTGAATGATTGAATGACTTGAATCCTGATCAAATTCCTGTTGTTTCTGCTTTAACCTAGAATGAGAATATCTGACTAGGTTAATAGAGTATCCTTGATTGAAGGTAGGGAGTTGGTGACTTTAGTCGAGGAATCAACTCACTATTCTGTACCGGATTTACTCCGGTAGTGGAGGTTTTGTTCTTAGGGCCTCAATCTGTTTACTCCGGTGGAGGTTAGTCGCCCGCTAGAGACTCAGATTGAGAGGGTCTGAAGACCTTTAGTCGAGACTTCAGGCTGTTTAAGAACCTTCCGCAGTATAACTTTCATAGAAACTGAACTTGGTAATTACAATCCGGCTTAACTGCAGTCTAGGGGGAACCATATCGGGGTGACCTCTCTTAACTTGAATACAACCGTTTACCTGCTTTGTTAGTTTGTTAGTTAGATTTGCATTCCTGTTTCATTGCTAGATAACAAGAATTCACTGAGTAGTCATCAAATCTAGGACCCGGGTTGACATATAAACCTAACCCGCTATACTACGCTTTAGGAAGTGGTTTCACTTGGCCAAATCCTAGGGTGACAGTAGAGTCGAGTCAAGTTTTTGGCGCTGTTGCCGGGGACGGCTAGGTTGTTGAAGAAAAGTGATTTCTGTTAATTTAGCTTTTCTTTTTGCTTTGTTTGCTTTGTCCCACTTGTGCCTTCACGGGTTTGCTTGCTTGAGTGTGTGCAGGTAGTGCATGACCCGTAGCCAGTCGGGAGGTTTACTGCCGTTGAATCCAGAGATTGAACGCACCTGTCGCCAGCTCAGGAGAC